GATTTATAAATTGGTTCATAAGGCAACTCCAAAAGAGGAGTTCTGAAATGTTATGGGTGATAATAGTATAGTTGGAAAGGAGTACATGGACCCCAAAAATGACCACACAGAAAGCCAGCATTTATGGGTACACATTTCAGTATGTCTGTTAAAGATAAATAACAAAATTACATCCCCATACATTTCAGGGAACATGCAAGTAACAATACACCAGGCTGAAGGGTTTCTATCTTATATAGCCATGACTCCCTTCCATTACAACAAGGTGTGTGCATTTTGAAAAAATCCCCCTGGATGACACTGATCTACCCCAAGTCCAGAATCACTGTAATAGAAAGAGCCCTAGTAGTAGCAAATCTGAGATGAAGGTGAGGAACCAGACATGTACATAAAGAATATGCACCAAAAGCAGAAACTCTCTTTTGTCTCCATGGCTAAATCTTAGTAAGAACTGCCATAAATTCATATGAAAGTTAACAATCCAGCCCTGGAAAATGTAGCACAATACATGAGCTGCTGCTTTGGATTACACTAAATAAGAAAACGCATACTTCTTACAGTAGTAAGGTGGCTCTAGAGTATTTGGTAGCTATGACCAAGAGCTCACCACGTTAAAAGAACTACTCTTTATGAAGGCCAAGTATAGTATTCAAGCTACAGAGGAGAAATAAGGACGGCCTGGAGGGTGTTTAACATTCACTCCTCTAGTGTTCCAGTTTTTCCTTTAATTCTCTTTGAAGAAGAATTCAATACTTTTCGTTATCATTTTGTCTGGTTTCATTCCACTTACTTCTACCCCACACACCCCAACCACACACCCAAATGAATCAACGGTCCATGACACCTTCCTTCATAAAAATTACAGCATGACTTATTGCTTTATTTCTCTCCTTTCGGAAGAAAAGGAAGCCATCTCTATCACCCAAAAGACCTAATCTCCAAATTTAGAAAAGAACCAAAGTTTATGATTCTGACTTCATATTTTATCAAAACCCTACAGAGCTGACCCCCTCATCTTCACAGCCTGGCTTCCAACCTTTACAATACCTTTCTACAATGAGAATGAAATAGAACACTTGTAAACTTAACATGAACACTAAAGTGGCACCCACAAGAAATTGTCACATCCAGATTGGAAGATTAGCACAAATATTTTGAATTTCAATTCAAGATAAATTTATAAAGGGAGAATTATTAAAAACTGTGTTTAACAATGCTAAGTTACACTCTTGATTGCTAAGGAAATAAATGGTATTAGATCCCTACGTGGGGACCAAGCCCGTGGCGCACTCGGGAGAGTGTGGCGCTGGGAGCGCAGCAGCGCTCCCGCCGCGGGTTCGGATCCTATATAGGGATGACCGGTGCGCTCACAGCGCTCACTGGCTGAGCGCTCTTTTTCCTATTGTTTCGAGTATGCTGAAGAACCCTTTACTACTTAACCTCAAATTCCTCTAATTCCATATATTCACTTACCTTTAATTTCACAAACTGCCATCTTTATACTTCCTTTGCTTCCTTTGCAAACATCATCCTGTGAATCATAGTAGGATAGGATTCCATTATCTAAAACAAACCAACGAGGCTGCCAACCTACAAAGATAATAAATAAAAGTTTAATAAGGAAAGAAATTACTATCATCACAAAGAAAACTGTGATTTCAAAACTTGCCATCTACATTATTTCTTGGCTCTCAAATAACACTCTGACAATGAAATTTTAAATAGCCAAGCCTTGCTCAAAATGTTCTTGCATCAATCTCTACTTTTTTGGGAGAGATTTCTGGGAAATCCCTAGATCAGTTTAAGTATGGGAAGTAATACTTTTATTCTGACTCATGACCTTCTCATTAACAACCCATAGCCCCATCCTCAGTAACAGCCCTGCACAGGGTACAACACAATTGCCCCCTTCCCCCTAAAAGGGAACAAAGTTGGGGTTATAATGTAATGGAAAAGGCAACAGAAAACAGAGATTCTAGCCCCAGCTCTACTATCATTTTTAGTTGGATAACCATAATCTGGGGCAAATCTTCTCATTTCAATAAATCTCCAAAATTCCCAGTCTTCAAACAGAACAAGTAGGTTGGACAAGATGACTTCTCTGTTGCCACCTAGCCCTCCAATTTTGCAATGTGACCTTCCCTGTTCTTGTAAAATACATGTTACCTAAGCAAATTCCCTTGCACACAGTGAATGCTAAATAAATTTCACTCTTACACAAAAGCTGCATATCCTGTAGTGAGGGCATAGATTCTCCACCACACCCCCCTCTTCCACTCTCTGCTTCTCCACTGGGAGGGCAGAAATGTTAGAAACTGCATTCATTTAATTGATATTTATTCAGGGACTAGAGCACACATCCATCACAGAGTTGGCTCCAAGGCAAATGTGGTTGTGAGGATGATGGCTTTCCTTGGTGCTGACTACCTCCCTGCAATCTTATCACGCATGCTACTAATTTACAACAGTTCACTGACTAGTAACATGGTGACCATGCTAGAGACAGTGTGACTGTCCTTGTTCTTCTGTTGACTATTAAATCAAAATTCATCCACCTTTTAAACCATGGGTGTTCAAATTCAGTTCACTTTATCCATAGTCTGATATGTGAGTAATCAACTTAGTTTTTCTAGGACCGGATAGTACCAAGACAGAGCGGGGGGGGGGGGGGGGGG